GACTTTACAGTAACATGAGGCAATTAATTCTTTTTTTATTAAGCCAACTTGAGCTAAGGTAATGCCACTTACATCTTTAGAGTCTTGGCTGATGTGAGCTTTATTTTTTTTTCTGCTGAAACTGAGCACTTTCATATACAGGGCATTGTTCTAAGTGTGTGTTTGTGTGTTAGTCACTCAGTCGTGTCCGACTCTTTGTGATACCATGGACTGTAGGCTGCCAAGCTCCTTTGTCCATGAAATTCTCCAGGTAAGAATACTGGAGTGGGCTGCCATTTCCTCCTCCAGGGGATCTTCCCAACCCAGGGATCAACCCTGGTCTCCTGCATTGTGGACAGATTCTTTACCATGTGAGCCACCAGGGAAGCCCTTGTTCTAAGTACTATATACATATTAACTATTTAAGCCTTATAACAATTCTATGAAGTAAGGTATCATCATTACTTTCATTTTTTAACTCTGGAAACTAAGAACTAGAGAAATTCAGTAATTTGTTGTAGGTCACAAAACAGGTAAGCAATGAGTGGGATGCAAATCCTGTCTACCTGAAGAGAATATCCAACTCTGACTTCAGACACTATCATCCTGGGGTGGACAGAGCCAGAAACCTATTTGAGCCACCTGTCCTCAATTTCATCCTTTGTAAAATGAGGATAATCATAGTTTACCTACCTTATAGAGTTCCTGTGAATATGAGATGAGACAATACACGTGAAGTACTTAAACAGTGACTGGTAGATAATAATTACTCAATAAACAATGATCATTAACATTATTACTCTTTGGGTCACTAAAGTGCACCTGGCAAATACAGTGCAGATGGAGGAGATCTGTTTTCTTTCATCTGTGTCCTTCAGGTGAAGAGAAGAGATGCCATGGGTTAGACGTGAAGAGTCTTTCTTGCTTTTGACCAACTGCATAAGCCACTTCCTCTGCCTGGAAGGCCAATCATCCTTGTCCCAACTCTTGTGGAACAGCACCCAGTCTTACCATCTCTTCTATGAAGTCTTTCCAGATAGAGGGTTCCTTCTCTCACTGCCAAATTCCCACAGTATATAATTTTTACCTCACATTCTGTCCCATGTACCTGACCAACCTCTTTACTGGGCTATGAGCTCCCTGAAGGCAGGCCCCAGTGTTACCCTTGTGATCTGTTTATTCTTCTCGAACTTAGCTGCCGGTTAGCCAATGATTCCCTACAACTTACAGAGGGAAGAGCCCACTTTGTGGAATTCAAAGAACAAGTTACATCCCAGTACTTTCCAAGCTCCGAGTCTAGTCAGTGTGAGTGGACAAGTACATGAAAAATTACCAGGGAGAAGATGAGTGGCGCTCTACAAAGTACAATGGAAGGCTCTGGGTAGTAAGAGAATGAAGATTGGAAGATGCCTTAAGGGAAGGGTGTTTATGTGGAGAAGGACAGATGAGGAATAGGTCAGAAGAGATGGACATGTGTGTTCAAGGAGGGAGCAACTTGAAGCAGAAGCACTGAAGGATATGGGATGGTATGGAGCAATAGAGGGGAAGCCAGGAGAAAATGCTGAGGAAGATCTAAAAGGGAACCATTCAAAGGCAGAATCTGAAGTAATTGCTCAGAGGGTGGGGTAACCTTGTAGAGAAGCCAGAAACCTTTCAAAGAAGGTAAGGAATCTTCTGGAAGGTGGGGACTTCGCAAAGGGGGCTCCCAGGAAAATGGGGGTGAGCAGAAGGGCACAGCGGCATACCCTGAGGCATCTTTCAAGGGCCTTTATGTGGGGAAAGGGAAATCCTCTTAGAGGGCAGTGGTTCTCAAACTTGAGCATGCATCAGAATCACCAGGAAGGTTCCTAAAAACAGATAGCTACTGCCAAGTTTTCTGATTCAGCAGGTCCGGGTTGGGACCCAAGAATTTGCATTTCTAACAAGTTACCAGGTGATGCTTGTGCTGCTGGTCCAGGGACAACACTTTGAGAACGACTACTATAGGGGGAGGGACTCTTTTTTGAGGAAGCTCTCAATGTGGAAAAGGAAGGAGAAAACTTCTGACAGGAAAATTGAGGGAGTCCTCAAGAAAAGTCTAAGGAAGGGTCTGTCTATCTCTGAAGGGAAGATCTGAAGGGAGGAGGGGTCTATGAAGATAGAACCAAAGAAAAATGTCCTGAGAGAAAGAGCTCTGAGGGCTGGAACTTCAAGGGGTAAGGGTATCTCCTGAGGATCTTTTAATAAAAAGGGACACAGAGGCTCCTGATAGGGGAAGTCTGTAGGATGCTGGGGGCCTATGGTGGGATAATGGGGGAAAGAAGCTCAAATCTGAGAAGGATCTCTAAGTTGATTTCACAGGAAAGAGAATGGAGGAGATGAAAGGGTATAAATGGAGGTTCTAAAACGGATATGTAATAAGGCCTTGAATAAGGTTTCTTGGAGATGTCAGAGGGGGAATCTGAGAGTGTGTTCTGAGGAAGTCTCACAAAGTGGTGGGGTTGTTGATGCATAGCAATTTTGGAGAAAATTCTCTAAAAGGAATCTGTGGATGTATGGTCTTTTGTGAGAGATCTTAGGTTTACTGGAGCAGGATAACAGAGGTCTTTTTAGGAACAATTCTCAAAGAGCTAAGATGAGAAATCTCTGAGTAAAGCCTTCAATAAGGTATATGGGGAAGGTGGCTCTTCTGAGGGGGAATGTGGCAATGTCACAGTAAAGGGTTTTTCAGAAAGAATTCTGGGACTTTCTAAGAAAATGAGCTCAGAGTTATTTTGAGGGAAGACTGCATGGTGTTGGGTGTCTTCCACAGAGGGTTCTAGAGGATTTGAGGGAAGCTGTGATGGTGAGTTCAGGGAGGGAATTATCTAGGAAAAGTCTTTTAGTAAGTAGTAGTAGTGGTAGTGTTAGTCACTTAGTTGTGTCTCTTTGTGACCCCATGGACTGTAGTGCCCCAGGCTCCTCTGTCCATAGAATTCTCCAGGCAAGAATACTGGAGTGGGATGCCATTTCCTTCTCCACTCTCAGTAAGGCAGGAGGTCTGTAAGTGGTGATCCAAGGGTTACTGGAAGAGTCTCTAGAAGAGATTTCAATTCAAGGGTATATCTCAGAAGGCTCGAGGGGGTTGTTGGGGTCTTTGAGAAGGTATGAGGAGGTCTTGAAAAACTGTATCTCAGAGGGGTTGAGAAGAAAGGGTCTTAGGGTTTACAAGGGTTGTCAGGAGGAAAGTTCATCAGAAAGTGGGTCTATAAGGAGGGACCTTGAAAGGAGGATTCTAAGGGGGATTGAAGAAAATATCAGAGAGAAACTATGGGAAACCTTTTGGAATCCTGAGGAAGCAATTTTTTGAACATTTTGTGTGGGTTACTGGGAAAGATTTGGGATACATAAAAAGGGTTTTGGAAGAGGCTCATGGAATGTGGAAGAAGAGTTCTCTGTAGATTCAGGTTAATCTCTGGAGAAGATTTTTGGCGTAAGTGAGGAGGGTCTCAGGGGAAGATTTTTGGGGTATGTGAGGGTGCTCTATAGAGCATTTCAGGGTGGGGAGATTTGAGGAACATGAGGAGATCTTTGGGAGGGATTTTTGGGACCTGTGGAAGGGTCCAAACAGATGACTTTTGGGATGTGTGAAGGGGGAGTGTATATGGGAGATGAATTGGGGGAGGGGTGGGGCTCCAGGTGAGTTTTGAGGATCCGAGGCCATTTCAGACGGTCACTTCGGAAGATTTTCCAGGGGATATCAGGGGCATTCTGGAGCATTCCAGGGGAGGGGCTCTGAGATTTGGGGGCCATGAATGGAAAATCTCCAAGGCGATTGCTGGTATGGGGGTAGGTGGGAGGGAAAATTCTTGGGATGTGTGAGAAGGAAGTCTGGGCGATATTGTTGGGATGTGTGAAGTAGGTCGCCGGGGGAGATTTCTGGAATGCACGGGGTCTGGAGGGGATTTCGGGGAGTCTCTGATCTGAAGATTTTTAGGGCTTATGAGGGAGGCTCCTGGAGAAGATATCTGACACATATTGTTGGAATACGAGGAGTGGCCCCGGGGGAATATTTCTAGACTGAGGAGGAGGATGGGGGATCCGGGGCCAGAGCAGGGTTCTCTGAGGAAAATTTTTGAGGCGTAGGACAGGGTCTGGAGCAGACATGGAAATATCAGGGGTGGTCTCTCGAGAAGCCTTGCGCACGGCGGGAGGGGACGGAAGGCTTCGAGTGGATTGGGAGGGGGGGGCGTCTGTGGGCGTGCCCTCTAGGGAGCTGTCTGAGGTAGACCTGTGGGGGGGGGGGTCACGAGATGGGCCGCTGGCCGGGTTCCCAGGCCACCCCGAGGGGCGAGGAATTCGGGGAGAAGCTCGAGAAGCGGCCTGTGAGGGGGACTCCGGGTACGGGTGTGAGGGATTCTCTCGAGGGTCGGGACCCCTGAGGCCCGCGCTCCGCGCCCGCCGCCGCCCGGGGTCCCTGAGGGGGCGGGGCCGCCCGCGCGGCCTGGGGCGCCCTGAGGTGAGCCCCGAGCGCCCCGACCCGCCGCCGCCCCGCGTCCGCCCGGCTCTGATCGCCACTCACCGCCTCGGCTGCAGCCGCCGCCGTCCGGGCCTCCTCAGGCCACCGCCACCGCCGTCGCCCCCTCTCCGGCCCGCGAGCTCCCCTCCCTCCTCCCGCACCGACCACCGCCGCCGCCACCGCCGCCGTCGCGCTGCGTCACCGCGCCGTGCGTCACCGCCCCTGGCCCCTCCCCGACGGGACCGCCGCGCGCCAGCATTAGTTGACGCCGCGGTGACGAACGGCGCACTCGCCAACGGGCGGCGAGGGCAGCCCGAAGGGCGGGAGGTGTGCGCGGAGAAAGGCGGGGTCCCGGCGGAGAGGGGGGCCGGGGGTGTTGAAGAAGGCCCACGAGGCCCAACCCCCGCCCCGTCGGATTGGTCGGCTGCTCAGCTGATGGGCAGTCGGTCCTGCGGGGTGGGGGGGAAGAGGCGGGGCGCGCGCGGCGTTGCCATGGGCAACAGGCCCGGCGGCGCGCGGGATTGGACCTCCCGACCCGCAGGGGGCAGTCTCGCGCTTGTCTACCTCAGCTTTGCAACTAAGTCACAATTCCTGATTGTGGCGTTCAAGGCCCGGTGATCCGCCTGGCACGCTAGCCGAGGTCTAGGCCTGGGCCCCGCCACGCCCCGAGGTGATCATCCAGGTTGCGGGTAGGCGCTAGGGCAGCTGGAGTCAGTTTCTCCATCGCAACCCTCTCTGAGTCTATTCTTTCTCTCAATTGGGAGTAGGAGTGAAAGAGACGATGCATACAAAGCGCTGGGCACAAAGCAGGCGGTCAATAAATGGGAGTCATTGCTCTGCCAGTAGTAACCTATTCATTTCACATACTGCCCTGGAGCAGCGTGAACTAAGTAAGCATATCGGGGGCACTCACTGAAGGCTCCCAGGTGACAGAGGCATGATTGTTCAGTTCAGTTCAGTCGCTCAGTCGTGTCCGACTCTTTGCGACCCCATGAATCGCAGCACGCCAGGCCCCCCTGTCCATCACCAACTCCCAGAGTTTACTCAAACTCATGCCCATCGAGTCGGTGATGCCATCCAGCCATCTCATCCTCTGGCGTCCCCTTCTCCTCCTGCCCCCAATCCCTCCCAGCATCAGGGTCTTTTCCAATAAGTCAACTCTTCGCATGAGGTGGCCAAAGTACTGGAGTTTCAGCTTCAGCATCAGTCCTTCCAATGAACACCCAGGACTGATCTCCTTTAGGATGGACTGGTTGGATCTCCTTGCAGTCCAAGGGACTCTCAAAGAGTCTTCTTCAACACCACAGTTCAAAAGCATCGATTTTTCGGCGCTCAGCTTTCTTCACAATCCAACTCTCACATCCATACATGGCCACTGGAAAAACCATAGCCTTGACCAGATGACGTGGTTGTTAGAGGAGCCCAAAGAAAGGGAGTCGGAGAGGAATGTAGAATTGAAGGCAGGGAGTGGTGGGAAATAACCTGTGGCCAGAAATTTGGCCACTTGAAAGAGTTTGGACTTGTCCCGAGGGCACTGAGGAGCCATGGAAGGTCTTCACCCCAAGGAGAGTCTGGGGGTTGGAGGGAGAGGGAAGTTGGAAAGCTGTCCCTGGCTTCTATATGGAGGATGGATTGGAGGGAATAGAACTGGAGCTGGGTGTTCGGGGAGCCAGCTGGGGTGGGAGAGGGGCGTTTGCATCAGGGGAGGAGGGAGGAGGAGGAAGAGTAGGTGCCAGGGACCGATGCCCAGGAGCTTCGGAGAACCTGCTCTGGGACTCCTAGGGCACAGATGGTGAGGGAGGGAGAAATTCAAGACAAGGCCCTCTGGCTGGAAGGTTGAGGGGAAGGGGTTGGGGGCTTCCCTGGGAAGGAGACCCAGAGGTGAAGCAGGTCAGGAAGTTGCTGAGTCCAGTGTTGGCTACCCAGCATCAGGATTTAGGAGGCTCCACAACCCCTGGGTCTGGGGCCAGAAACCTATATTTGAGGATGATCAAAGATAGTAAAGCTGTGGGAGTTAGTGACCTATCCTGGGGAGGGTATGAAGGATGAATGGAAACAAACACCAGATAGAACCTTGAAGAGACACATAAGGTTTGAGCAAAGAAATTGACACTTTCAACAAAGATTGAAAAGCAGCAGCCAGAGAGAGAGAGGAGGTAAACCAGGAAAACCAGGCATCTCTGGCGCTGTGAGGATAGGCCCTTTTAAAAGACGGCGGGGGTACATCACTAACCGCAAGCATTGCCACCTCCATTTAAGCAACAACTTTCAATGCCATATAGAATGGTTGGGCTCCAAGGACACTAGTTCATTTATTTATTCAATATTTCTTGAGTATCTAATATGTGCCAAGCACTGCTCAAGGTACTAAAAATTCAACAACGAATGAGGCAGGCATGAAGCTTACATTCTAGCTGGGGGACAGAAACAAATGATACTTTCAATGTTTATTTGGTATATTTCGATGTAACTTGGTGATAAGTTCTATGGAGAAAATTAAAGCAAACTAAGGGGATGGAGAGGTGGGATCAGCACTATTTTAGATAAGGGAAAGGCTTCTTTGATCAGGTGACATTTGAACAGAAATCTGAAGGAGTGAAGAGGTGAACCATGAAGGAAGGAGGGTTCAAGAAAAAGGAGCCAGCACGTGAAAAGCCCTGATGTCAGGATCACTCATAGAACCAGAAAGAGGCTAGTGTGGCTGGAGAGGAGTGAGCAAAGAGGAGAGTATTGAAAAGACAAGATCCAGGAGGTAACAGAGGAGGGATGGTGGCAGGTAATTAAGAGCTTTTAAGGCCACTATAAGGACTTTTGCTTTTACCCAGATAATATGGGAGACAGGAGAGAGTATTGAGTGAACAGGTATGTCAGTTGGTTTTTGTTTTTGTTTTGGCTTCACTGCACAATGTGTGAAGTTCACACTGACCAGGGATTGAACCCATACCCCCTGCAGTTGAAGCTTGGAGCCTTAACTACTGGACCACCAGGGTTAAGTTTGGTTTGGGGTTTTATTAGGATCTCTCTTGACAGTCCTATAAAGAATAGAGTGTGGGGAGGGGGTGGGAGCAGAAAAACAGTGAGGAAGCTACTATGAGAGTTCAGGCAGAAGTTCAAGGTGGCAAGGGCAGAATATAGGCTGTGGAAGGGGAGGAGAGAGCCAGTTCTGGTTATATTTGGAAGTTCAGAGCTGGAAGGTTTAAAGGTACATTGTCAGAGGAAAGAGATGGGTCAAGGATGACTCCAAGACATCCAGATGGAGTCATGCTGGCAGTTGGACATAAGAGCCTAGAGAGGCCCAGACTGGGGAAGTAACTAGGGTATCCCCCTTTGAATACTAAGAGACTGATGCTTTCAGGAAGATGAGAAGGAGGATAGAAAAGAGAAGCAGACTGAGGGCTGAGCCCTGGGACTCATGACTCTTAAAAGGAAGCTGATATGTGATCCTGCAACCCCACTCCTGGGCATATATTCAGAGAAAACTATAATTCAAGAAGATATATACATTCCAATGTTCCTTGCAGCACTATTTGCAAGAGCTAAGACAGGGAAGCAAACTAAGTGTCCATCAACAGAGGAATGAATAATGATGTGGTACATATACAATGGAATACTACTCAGCTATAAAAAAGAAAAAAATAATGCCATTTGCAGCAACATGGGCACACCTATAGATTGTCATACTAAGTGAAGTAAATCAGAAAGACAAATACCGTAAGATATCACTTATATGTAGAATCTAAAACATGACACAAATGAGCTTATCTATGAAACAGAAATAGACTCCCAGACATAGAGAAGAGACTTGTGGTTGCCAAGGAGGAGAGGGGTGGGAAAGAGATGGATGGAGAGTTTGGGATTAGCCAATGCAAACTGTTACATGGAGAATGGATAAACAATAAGGTCCTCTGCATAGCACAGGGACCTGCATTCATATCCTGTCATAAACCGTAATGGAAAAGAATATGAGGGACTTCCTTGGTGGTTCAGTGGTTAGGACTTCGCATTTTTCACTGCCAAAGCCACAGGTTCAATTCCTGGTCTGGGCACTTTTATCCCACAAGCCTCATGGTGCAGCCAAAAAATGAAAAAGATTGTATATACATGTTTAGCTGAATCACCTTACTATACAGTAGAAATTAACACATTGTAAGTCAACTACGCTTCTATAAAATTTTAAGAAAGGAACTGAGACAGAGCAGCCAGAAGAGCCAGAGGAAATCCAGGCTGGGGTGGTGTTCCGGAAGCCAAGTGAAGAAAGTGTTTTGGGCACAGGAGTGATGGATGATATCAGATGCAGCTGACAGGGCACGGCAGATGAAGATTAAGAATTGACTGTTGGGTCCAGCGCCACAAAGCTCCTTGGTGGCCCTCTGACGGTGGTCGTTGGCCCTCCCTGTCACTGGAGAGAGACAGGAGTGAGCCTGCTGGGAGAGAGTTGAAGAGCAAATTAGGAGGAGATATTGGAGGCAGTGAGTGTGGACAATTCTTTCAAAAGTCTTGCTGAAAAGGGAAGGAAATGAATAGGCAGGAGAGAGAAAGTTTATAGGTTAGTATTAAATTTTGCTTATTTATTTTTGGCTGAAACTTGTGGAATGCAGGATCCTAGTTCCCTGACCAGGGTATAAACCTGTGTCCCCTGCAATGGAAGCAGGGATTTTGTAGTGGATTCTCAACCACTGGACCACGAGAAAAGTCCCAGGGTTTTTAGTTTTTAAGATATACCATGGTGTGTAGGCCAAGGGGAAAGATCCAGTAGAGATAAGGATATTGGTGATACGGGGAGAAGAAGGGTAGCTGCAGCGATGGCCTTGAGGAGGTTAGAGAGGGTGGGATCTGCGTTCTGCTACGCGAGCGAACTCAGCACAGCGGGCCAGACATTGTGAAGCTAGGTCCTCTGAACACACTCTGTCGTTTGTGTGTGTTTTTTTCATAGAAATACAGAGGGGGTTCTCATAAATTACTTCCCTTTTATTTCTACTTTATATGATAGTTAGGACATTATATTGATTTTAGGGAGAATTTATGTGTATAAATAGGTTGCCTTATCTAGGAATTTCATTCCAGGATGTGAACTGAGGAGGACAATACAAAATGCTCTTCATAATAAAGGAGGTACTGGTGTGATAGGATTAAACACCATTGTTGTAGTACCCATTATAAGGCCCATGAGGTTGAATAACTGCAGAAAAAAAATACACCATTACCTGAGCGCTGGTGAGTTTCCTCTTTCTCCTCCATTTCCCCATCAACCTAATAAGTTGCAGTTTGATCAGCAAACATTTCTAAATTCCCCCTTTTAGCTCTGGAATTAAAATATTCCAGATTAGGGGGTAGCGGAATCCAAGAAGGCTTCCTGGAGGAACAGTTAAAGAGCTTATTTCATCATCAAAAAAGTCTGCAAACAAAAAAATGCCAGAGGGTGTGGAGAAGGGGAACCCTTCTGCACTGTTGATGGGATGTAAATTGGTACAGTCTCTATGGAAAACAGTATGGAGGTTCCTTAAAAAACTAAATACAGAACAACCACATGATCTAGCAATCCCACTCTTGGGCATATAGCTGGAGAAAACAATAATTTGAAAAAGTACACACAGCATTGTTTGCAATAGTCAAAACATGGACGCAACCTAAATGTCCATCAACAGAGGAGTGGATAAAGAAAATGTGGTACACTCCAAAAAAGATGTGGTACATAGCAATATATACAATGGAATATTATGCAGCCATAAAGAAGAGTGAAAATGCCATTTGCAATGACACAGATGGACCGTCCCTGAGATTGTTATACTGAATAAAGTAAGTCAGACAAAGAAAGATAAATATTATATGATATTGCTGTATGTGGAATATAAAAAAAAGTTACAAATGAACTTATTTACAAAACAGAAAAAGAGTCACAAATGTAGAAAACTTATGGTTACCAGGAAGGAAAGGGGGAGAGTGACAAATTGGGATATCAGGATTGACAAGTATATACTACTGTATATAAAATAGATAACTAATAATAACCTACTATATAGCACAGTGAACTCCATCTGATACTCCGTAATGACCTACTTGGGAAAATAATCTAAAAAAGAGTGCAAATATATATAGTTGATTGACTCACTTTGCTTTACACCTGAAACTAACACAACATTGTAAATTAACTATACTCCAAGAAAAATTAAAAAAAAAAAAAGAGCTCATCACCACCTGTGGTGTATTGGGTGTTGGCCACCATGCTGGGAGATATGTGAAGTTATGTTAGCCTTGTAACCATTCTGAATCAGAGGGGTGAAGTTACTTAGCTAGAGCCACACAGTCAGGAAGCACTTGAACCCCAGTCTGGGTGACTGTAAAGCCTGGGAGGTCCCAACAGATGAGGGGAAGGAAGGAGAGGGAGGAGCCATCTGTGACAGTTGTCTCAGAATGGGCATAAACAGGATGTGGTGTTGGATGAAACTTTTCCCCTACCCCACACTCCGCCCCTGTAGCTGTGGTCCCCACCCCTAGAAGACAGCGGAACCAAGGAAAGAAGAGGCCCCTGGACAGTAAAGTCATGGTCGGGGGCCAGGGTCGTATGGGAAGGGCTAGGGGCTGGAGTGGGACTGGGGCTGGGAGGACGCCGGGGTGAACGTCAGGCTGTGGATGGGAGGTCAAGGCTGGGGAAAGAGAGATGGCGGTTCCGGGTTTAGCCCCAGGCGAGCAGATCCCCGAGCCTCCCTGGGCGTTGCCCAAGGGCACCTGCCGAAAGGGCTCCCCAGTCCAGCCTCTGCTCATCGAGGGGCAGCATCCGCTCAGAGGAAAGGGTACCTTTCCCCAGTGTTTACACAGGCAATCTATGGGCTATGGCCGCCTCCTCGTTATTAGTGGACAGAGAAACTGAGGTTTGGGGAAAGGGGCAGGGCTGAGGCCAGGCGACTCAGCTCTTGACTGGGCTCCTCTGGCAGTCCGACTCCCTGGTGGTGTGTGAGGTGGACCCCGAGCTACAGGAAAAGCTGAGGAAATTCCGCTTCCGAAAAGAGACGGACAATGCAGCCATAATAAGTGAGTGTCTTCTTCCCTCCTGACGGATGGGGGGTGGGGGGAGCATAGGGACAGATGGGAAGGGCGTCTAACCCACCCATGCCCTCCCTCCTCAGTGAAGGTGGACAAAGACCGGCAGCTGGTGGTGCTGGAGGAAGAATTTCAGGTGAGGGGCTGGGGGGTGGGACTGGGAGACCCAGAGGCCTGTGACTGAGGCTAAGAGCCTGGGGTTGGGAGCCAGAAAAACCAGGAAGTCAAGTTCCAGCTTAGCTGTGACCCTAGGCGAGAGACTCTGCCTGTATAGGCCTCTCATCTGTGACATGGTGATAACAGTCCTTACCTCTGAGGGTTGTCTGTGAATGCAGTGATTTAATCCTTGTAGTTTGCTTAGAAAAAAGCAAGTGTCTTAACACCTCTGGGCCTCAGTTTGTTCACCTGTAAATGGGGGTAATAACAGGACCTACCCCTTTGGGTTTGGGGAGAGATCAATGGGCTAATAATCCACATGTGTTTCTTGGATGAGTGCCTTGACACAGCACAAGTTCGTTTAATGGCAGTCTTTTTTTTTTTTCTCTCCTCCCCCCACCCCTCACAGAATATTTCTCCAGAGGAACTAAAAATGGAGTTGCCTGAGAGACAGCCCAGGTATCCTGGGGCAAGGAAGGGGAAGGTCAGGCCATGGAGGGATGCAGACTGAGGGACTACTTGGGGTCCAGTCTTATTCATGGACTTTGAAACTATGTCTTTGAGTTCCTATCACAGGACTTTTGGTTTGTATGCCAGAATTTTATTGCAGAATTTTATGCTAATAGTTATATGTGATGTTAGTACATACTTCGTAAGGTTTTGGTCTCAACATTGCACTTGTTTCATTAAAAAAAAAAGTTAAAATTTCCTTATTTTTCAATGCTTGGGAAGACTTTGAGTAGGAAAGGATTTATTTGACCTTTAATGATTGGGGAGAATCCTGTGTGAAGCCAGAGGAGCCTGGTGCTTTTTGTGTATGGAGAAGTTTTTTGACACTTCTATGAAAACTGGTCTCTCTAGATTTTTTCATCTTGACTGGGGTGAGTTTTGGGGGTCCTAGGACTTTGAAACTCAATCCCAGGCTCTAGATCTCAGTCAGCACCCTGGGCATCTGACAAGTGCAATCACACAGGGCCCCATACCCAGAAGGGAGCCTTGAAGGCAGGGCTTGATGCCTGCTATCTTGAAATTCTTTCTAGTTTTATCTCTGAATCTGTTTCGTGTGAAGTCTGACAGGACAGTGGAGCCTGTGCTGGAGGCTTGGAGCCTCCTTCAACTCACACCTCCAGCCCTAGATGGGTTCTCAGCTCCCCACTCCCACATTGCCCAATGATGGCTGGTGCCCTCTGCCCTGGGCAGGGGGCCTAATCGCAGCCTCAGGGAGTGTCAGGGCCAGGGGGCAGCACTCACTCCTGAAAGATAAATTCCAGAGTGTGCCCGTGAGCAATTTCACTCCCCCCATGAGTGTCTCCAAGCCCAAGACAGCACATGACTTGAAACAGGAAATTTTAAAAGACCAAGATCAGTCTGGAAAGAGACTGCAGAAGAAAGGGAAAAACATCTTTCTCCTGTGTTTATTACAAGGGGCCCTGCATTTTCATTTTGCACTGGGTTTGGGAAATTATATAGCTGGCCCTGGTCTCAGCCCCTGATTCTAGACTGCTAGACAGTAAAACATAGTGGTTGAGCACTTACACTCTACCAGTGAACTTCCTGGGTTCAAATCTACCCATAGAACCCTGGGCAAATGGCTTCATTCTCTGGGCTTTGATTTTCCTGTATGTAGTATGGGGATAATAATAGTACCTACATCATAGGGTTGTTGTGAATAATCAAATAAGCACTTACTATTTTTTTTTTTTGGGGGGGCTATGTCACTCAGCATGTGGGATCTAAGCTCCCTAACTAGGGATAGAACCCCTGCCTCTGCAGTCTTAACTATTGCACCTCCAGGGAAGTTCCAAAACCGTTTTTTCTTAAACATTTTTTTCTTTATTGAGTTATATTTGATGTATGATATATTAATTTCAGGTGTAAAACATAATGATTTGATTTTTTTTGTATATACTGTATTACCAAATGTTCACCATGATAATCTAGTTAACATCTGCCACCATACATAGTTTCTAAAAAAATTTTTTTCTTACGACGAGGACTTTTAATATCTACTCCTTTAGCAACTTTCAAATATACAATACAGCATTATTAACTACACTTACCATGCTGTATATCACATCCCTAGGACTTTTTAAAAATAAATAACTGGAAATAAAATAATTGGAAGTTTGTACCTTTTGACTCCTTTCACCCATTTCACCCACTCCCATCTTTGGCAACCACTCATCTGTTCTCTCTCTATATGAGCTTGATGGTTTGTTTCTTTATTTTATTTTTTCAATTCCATATGTAAGTGAGATCATAAGGCATTTGTGTTTCTCTGTCTGATTTATTTCACCTAGCATAACGCCCTCCAAGAGCCATCCATGTTGCAATGGCAAGATTTCATTCTTTTTTAACGGCTGAATAGTACTTCATTGTGTGCATATGTGTGTGTGTGTGGGTGTGTGGACCACATCTTCTTTATCCATTCATTCGCCAATGGACACTTAGGTTTTTTCCACATCTTGGCTATTATAAATAATGCTGCAATAAATATGGGGGTGCATATATCTTTTTGAATTATTGTTTTCATTTTCTTTGATAAATACCCAGCAGTGGAATTGCTGGAGCAGATGGTAATTCTATTTAGCATTTACTATTATTATTTTTTTAATTAAAAACTTATTTATGGCTGCACTGGTTCCTCGTTGCTATGCACAGCCTTTCACTAGCTGTGGTGAGTGAGGGCTGCTCTCTAGCTGCAATGCACGGGCTTCTCGTTATGGTAGTTTCGCTTGTCGCAGAGCACAGGCTCTGCGCATGTGCACCTCAGTAGATTGCAGCATGGGCTCAAGAGCCATTGGGTGAAGGCTTGGCTGCTCTATGGCATGCGGCCCTGGTCTTTCCAGATCAGTGATCGAATCCATGACCCCTGCATTGGCAGGCTGATTTCCAACCACTGGACCACCAAGGAATTCCCCTATTATTATTATTATTTTCCCCCATTATTATTTTTTAAATCTTTTATTGTGTTTGAAGCCAGTACCCTTGGTCTCGGTTGTTAACCCTAGGTTCTCAAACTCAGGCAAGATTTCTAGGCTGTGGTCTCAGGTGATGAGCATTAGGCCTGAGCTCCAGGCCAAGTCCTGAGTTTGAATTCCCTTTCACTATTGTAGGTTCGTGGTTTACAGCTACAAGTACGTGCACGCCGATGGCCGAGTGTCCTACCCCTTGTGTTTCATCTTCTCCAGCCCCGTGGGTGAGACACAGCTCTACTCCTCCTGAGAAGGGGCTCTTAGATTATGTGTGGGGATGTGTAAGTGTGTGTGTTTTGAGTGTGTGTATGTGCACGTGACTGGTGATTTTGTGTGTGTGACTGTGTGCGTGTGTATAGATGCCTGTGGTAGAGTGTGGTGTGTGTGATTAGTGAATGCTGAGAGGGCAATGGGGTGGAGGTGAGGGCACCAAACCCCCATCTTCATTAGTTCTGAGGTGTGTAAGCACATTCACCTCTTCCTTTTACTGGCAACCCCTGTCTGGCCCCTAAACCATCTCCAGGGACCTTAGAATAACTTCCAGCCCCCAAACAAATCTGAAGACTCTGACTGTAGCCTCCAGGGACCTCCTTAGAACAATGCCTGGGAGTCTTAGAAAACTCTGGGGCCTTTAGGACACTGTTATTGTTCAGTCACCAAGTCGTGTCTGACTGCGAGCCCATGGACTGTAGCCCACCAGGCTCCTCTGTCCATGGGATTTCCCAGGCAAGAATACTGGAGTGGGAAATACCATTTCCTTTTCCAGGGTAGGACATTACCAGGGCCTTAGAGGACACCTTGGCATCCCCTAGTTATGCTTCCCTCTTCTATTTTTCACACAGGCTGCAAGCCTGAACAACAGATGATGTACGCAGGGAGCAAAAACAGGCTGGTGCAGACAGCAGAGCTCACAAAGGTCTGAGTCTGGGGCTGATGCTCCTGAGTGTGAGGGAGGAGAGTCTGGGATCTGAGGGCTGATGGAGGGTGGGGGGCTCCACCCCTGGAGGTCCCCCACTGGGGGGTCAGGACTCTTGGTCTGAGGGAGGAGGGAGCTGGGTTTCTGGGTCTGAAGGAGGGAGGGGCTGGAGCCCTCACTGTTTCAGTTCTTGAGTGGATTATAAAACTGAACCCTCTCTCTGCGCAGGTGTTTGAAATCCGCACCACTGATGACCTCACCGAGGCCTGGCTCAAAGAGAAGTTGTCTTTCTTTCGTTGACCTCTGGGCCGGGCACCTGAACTCAAACCCTCTAGGGCCTGAACATCTCAGACCTTAAAGAAATTAAAATGCCACTTCTCAGAGACCCTCAGCTCTGGCTGGCTCAGTTTTCTGTTCCTCATTGTGGGCACTAGGTGGCACTCCTGCAGTACCAGTCTTGGACCAGTAGAGGGCAGACAGAGCCAGTGGACGCCTGCTGGCTGCTGGGAGGACAAGGAGGATACCATACCTGTTCCTCTGAAAGAAAGGAAGGGGCCCGTAAGGTTTCCTAAGGAGAAATGAGGGAGGCCAGGGTCTCCTAGAGGAATTGGGGGAATATCTGAAGCTGTGGAGGGGCTTGTTCCAAGAGGAACAAGGACACCTGAGTCCCTGAGAGTAAAGGAGGCGAGGCCCTTGCAGGCAGTATTTGCACCTATGCTAATTTTCTCAGTGATCCCCCAGGCAGGAAGATTTTGAAAGCAGAAAAGTTGTTGAAGTTGTTACAAATGTCAAATATAATAGCTTCAGGGGCTGGGGAGTTGCTGGGGGGTGAGTGATTTGTGGGGTTGGGTGGGCCTGTGGGCCCAAGTCTGGGAAAGATTAAGAGGAATCAGAACTCTCAGAGGACCCCTGAGGAGTACGAAAAGTTGAGGAGGCAGGAAAGGGACACTGCCCTCCCCCTGTGGTGATTCTTCTTTCTTTCATCATCTTTGGTCGCTTGATTCTCTCAGGCTTTCTGTTTCTGAGGGACATTTATTGAGCACCCACAGTGTACTAGGCTCTGAGGATTCTGAGATGGGTAGGTCTTCAAAGAGTTGAATCACTGTCTCGCTCTGCTTTTCCTCCAGGTCTCTTGAGTGTTCCTCTCTCTACCCCCAGATTCGGGGATCTGGGAACTCCCTCTCCCCACCCCTTTCCAGGTTCCCAGTTGAGAGGTGGCTGTTGCCATGGTAACAATGACAGAGTGACCTTGGGCCCGGGCAGCCCCTCCTCCAGTCCTGTCGTTCCTGGGGGAGGGTCCACAAGCCCAGCTCCAACCCTTCCTCCAGCTTCCCAGCCTGAACACACCATGCCTTCAATTGCCCCACACTGTCCCATCCCTTGCCCCCTCGTCCCCAGTCAGGACACGCCCCTTGCCTGAGGGATTCAGGATAGAATTACTCTACACTGGGCCATGGAGAGATCCTGATAGTTCTCAATTTTCGGGGGGGGGGGGCTTGGGTTGAGGTGCGCAACCCTTCTCTTTCACCTATACTGGTACCCCTCCACCCCATTTCTCTGCTAGGGTTGTCTCTACTCCTCCCTCTGTTCACAGCCTCAGTCCCTGAAGGCTAGAGATGAGGGAATGGGAGGGGTCATTCAATGAAGAGGTCAAGCAACTCCCCTGGTCTGCCAAGGTCAGAGAGGCAAAAGGACTTGTCCAAGGTCATGAACTTACACAATGAAATGGGTAATAATAGCTACTACTCCCAGGGCTTCCTATGTGCTTAGTACTTCTATAAGCATTTTACAACTAATTTAATTCTTACAATTATTTTTGAAGATGGTATCATTATCCCCAATTTACAAATGAAGAAACGGAGGCACAGAAACAAAAAAGAGTTTCCCAGAGTCACACACCTAGTGGTCTGTACGGTTAGAACTTTAACCCAAGGCTAGCCTGTGGTCAGTGGCCACTCTCCTAGATAGGAGATTCAGGGAACCCCCTATGTCTTCTTTTTCTCGCTACTACTCACTCGCACCATAGCTGAACATCTGTCTGCCTCCAGGTTCATTCACAAATGCTCTAATCAGACAGGCATGTGCAAGGATTTGCCCCATCACGAGCAGGGAGTTTGGAAAGCAGGCATCAGTCAGAGAGGGTGACTCTGAAGGGCAGTCCAGTGCACTGTAGGTTTGACTAGAGGGCTTGTGGAGGGACCAGTCAGAAAGGTCAGAACAGAATCCCGCTATACAATGCAAAGTGGGCACAGCGGGGCTGAGGCTGTTCATTTGGGGCCACACCTTTGAGGGGCAATACAAACTGGGAACCTCTTCCTCTCTTTCCACCAACCTCCCTTCTCAACTCAGTTCAGTTCAGTTCAGTTGCTCAGTCCTGTTTGACTCTGCCATCCCACAGACTGCAGCACGCCAGGCTTCCCTGTCCATCACCATCTCCCAGAGCTTGCTCAAGCTCATGTCCATCGAGTTGGTGATGGCATCCGACCATCTCATCCTCTGTTGTCCCCTTCTCCTCCCGCCTTCAATCTTTCCCAGCATCAGGGTCTTTTCCAATGAGTCAGTTCTTCACATCAGGTGGCCAAAGTATTGGAGTTTCAGCTTCAGCATCAGTCCTTCCAGTGAATATTCAGGACTGATTTCCTTTAGTATGAACTGGTTTGATTTCTTTGCAGTCCAAGGGACTCTCAAGAGTCTTCTCCAACACCACAGTTCAAAAGCATCAATTCTTCGGCACTCAGCTTTCTTTATAATCCAACTCTCACATCTGAACATGACTACTGGAAAAACTAGCTTTGATTAGATGGAACTTTGTTGTCAAAGTAATGTCTCTGCTTTTTAATATGCTGTCTAGGTTGGTCATAGCTTTTCTTCCAAGGAGCAATCGTCTTTTAATTTCATGGCTGCAGTCACCATCTGCAGTGATTTTGGAGCGCAAAAAAATAAAACTCCCTTCTAGGTTCCCACAGATCCAGGCTCCCTAGGTTTTCCCTGGGCTATTTCTCCCTGATAACCTTGAAAGTGAGCAGGGTTTATGTTGAATAGGTGAAGACTGGACTTTAGGTCAGGGTTGAGAATGGGGTACCCAAATTAGGCCCGAAGGGCCCTTGCCTAGGCTGAAATCTTGACTCCTTTGGAGTGGAGTCTAAGGTGGAGGTGTGGGGCTAGGATAGAGGGGTGGGACTTGGGTGGTGGCAGGACCCAGACTGAAGAAACATGAATATTACAAATTTTAAGATGGTGTTTAAGATAAAGGGGTAGGGCTCAGGCTGTGAGGGTGGGACCTAGGCTTGAGGGGTATTTCTTATTTAGGCCAGATAGGTCAGGGATTTTGCTGTGGGGTGGGGCTTTAGAGACGGGGGTGGAGCCTATGCTTCTGGGTGGGGCCTAAATTGTGGAAGCATTAGATTGGATCTCTATTAGGAGGTCTGGGTCAGGAATTAAGGCCAGAGGGAAATAATCACACTATATGCTTTCATCTGTTGCCTTCTTTTTCAGGACAACTCACATTCCCTGACCTCATGGGGCACTCCCCTGCCTCTGGGGTATATCCTTCCCCTTCTAGTGGCCCCAGGCTGGAAGATCATGTTTATTCCTGAGTGTAGGCTCTACAGTGAGACTGCAGCAGCTCGAGCTCCCAGGCCTTCTCCTAAGAGGAGTTCAAGAACACATTTTTACCAAGCACCTATTGGGCTTCCCAGGTGGTTCCATGGTAAAGAATCCAACTGCCAATGCAGGAGACACAGGTTCAATCCCTGGGTCAGGATGATCCTTGGAGAAGGAAATGGCAACCCACTCCAGTATTCCTGCCTGAGGAATCCCATGGACACAGGAGTCTGGTGGGCTAAACAACAACTGGTGCCAAGACTATTGGAGAAATCTGGTGGACTGGGGAAAATTGGTGCGCAAGCCACATGTCAGGTGGCTTACATTTCAATTAAGAGACAGTAAGCAACAAATGAATAAATAGGTAAACAAACAAGCAAGCAAGAATGTTACCAAGAGTGATAAAGATTATGAAGGAAATAAAATGAGGTGATGGGATGATAGAAATCCCAAACAGGGTGGGACCTGTTTGGGTTTTTTTGTCGTTGTTGTTGCTTCTTTAGTATCTAGAAGAGTCCTCCAGTTTCTTCTTGCCAACATTTATTGTGAAAAATTTCAAACATATAGCAAAGCTGAAATAGTTTTACAGTGAACACCCATATACCTACCACCTAGATTCTAGATGAACATTTTGACTGTACTTGTTTTATTACATAGCCACCCATCTATCCATCCATTAATTCATTAAAATAAATTATTTATTTATTTGGCCGCACGTGGTCTTAGTAACAGGATGTGGGATCTAGTTCCCTGACCAGGGATTGGACCCAGGCTCCCTGCACTGGGAGCACAGTCTTAGCCACTAGGGAAGTCCCCCAATCATTAATCCCTTTTTACTTTTAAAGTATTTCAAAGTAATCTGAGGACATCAGGACAACTGGTAGCAGTGAGGATATAAATTGGTCATGGTAAAGGAAGGGCTCTCTTAAGAGATTACATTTGAATTAAGAATTGAATGAAGCTCTCTTTCCCCTTGGCACGCCATTGAAGATCCTGGTGTCGCCATGGGCCGCCACCCCGCCCGGTGCTCCCGGTATTGTAAGAACAAGCCGTACCCAAAGTCCCGCTTCTGCCAAGCTGTCCCTGATGCTAAGATCCACATCTTCAACTTGGGGCATAGGAAGGCTAAAGTGGATGAGTTCCCACTCTGTGGCCACATGGTGTCAGATGAGTATGAGCAGCTCTCCTCTGAAGCCCTGGAAGCTACCCGTATTTGTGACAAGTACATGGTGAAAAGCTGTGGCAAAGATGGTTTTCACATCTGAGTGTGGCTCCACCCCTTCCATGTCATCCGCATCAACAGGATGTTGTCTTGCGCTGGAGCTGATAGACTCCAGACAGGTATGTGTGGTGCCTTTGGAAAGCCCCAGGGCACAGTGGTCAGGGTCCACATTGGCCAGGTCATAATGTCTGTCCGCACCAAGCTGCAGAACAAGGAGAATGTGATTGAAACCCTCTGCTGGGCCAAGTTCAAGTTCCCGGCCGCCAGAAGATCCACATCTTCAAGAAGTGGGGATTTATCAAGTTCAAGGCGGATGAATTTGAAAACATGGTGACAGAAAAGCAACACATCCCAGATGGCTGTGGGGTCAAATACATCCCTAGTCATGGTCCCCTGGACAAATGGTGGGCCCTGCACTCATGAGCATCAGCACTGTCCCCTCCGTAATCATGCTCACCAATAAATGCTATTTCCTGTCGAAAAAAGAGAATTGAAGGAAAAGAAGAAATCAGCCATGGAAGGGGAAAACAGTGCAAAGGCCCAGGGGCTGGAATGACATGATATGTTGGAGGAAGAGAAAATTCATCACTGAGGCTGGAAGACAACAGTGGTCAGGGATGAGGTCAAAAGGTGGGCAGGAGCCAGAGATCACAGGGCCAGACATGCTCTGTGAGTGAGGCTATCTCTGTCTGGACTCAGGCTCTTTATTTCTCTATCTTTGTCTCTATTATTATTATCATATTCATTTGGTCCTTGGAAGAAAAGCTATGACAAACCTAGACAGCCTATTAAAAAGCATAGACATTACTTTGCCGACAAAGGTCTGTATTGTTAAAGCTATGGTTTTTCCAGTAGTCACGTACGGATGTGGGAATTGGACCATAAGGCTGAGTGCCTAAGAATTGATACTTTTGAATGGTGGTGCTGGAGAAGACTCTGGAGAGTTCCTTGGACAGCAAGGAGATCAAACCAGTCAATCCTAGAGGAAATCAACCCTGAATATGCATTGGAAGGACTGATGCTGAAGCTGAAGCTCCAATACTTTGACCACCTGATGCAAAGAGCTGACTCATTGGAAAAGACCCTGATGCTGGGAAAAACTGAGGGCAGGACAAGAAGGGGGTGACAGAGAATGAGATGATTGGATGTCATCACTGACTCAATGAATCTAAGTTTGAGCAAACTCAGGGAGAAGGTGAAGGACAGGGAAGCCTGGTGTACTGCAGTTCACAGGTCGCAAAGAGTCAGACACAACTCAGCAACTGAACAACAACAGTTCTTAGTTGCGCCCTGTGGGACCTTTTGTGCAGCTCAAGGGTTCTCTAGTTGTGGCGCAGAGGTTTAGTTGCTCCGAGGCATGTGGCATCTTCTTTCTTTTTCTTTTTTGGCTGTGCTGAGTCTTGGTTGCTGTCAAGGGCTCTCTCCCGTTCCTGAGAGTGGGCTTGTCCTTGTGGCGGCTTCTCGTTGTGGAGCATAGGCTCTAGGGCTTCAGTAGTTTCAGTTCGTGGCTCTCGGCTCTCTGGCTCAGTAGTTGTGACGCACGGGCTTGGTTCCGCTGCGGCATGTGGGATCTTTCCAGACCAGGGATTGAACCAGTGTACCCTGCATTGCAAGGCAGACTCTTAACCACTGGACCACCAGGGATGTCCCTGTCTCTGTTTTTATTATCTTCTCACCCTACCTCCCTTTTTCACTCCCATCCATCCCAGACCTGCCCTATCCTCTTTCCTCTTTGCCTCTACCTTGTTCTGCTACTTGCTATCTATGTGATCTTAGGCAAGTGACTCAACCTCTCTGTAGTTTAATTTTCCTCATCTGTAAAATGGGCATAGTCATTTGACCTCCTCATTTGGTGTCTGTGAAGAGTGAATGGAGGACTTCCCTGGTGGTCCAGTGGTTGGGAGTCTGCCTGCTAATGTGGGGGGGGGGGGGCGGTGATTGACATGGGTTTGATCACTGGTCAGGGAAGATCCCACGTGGCTCAGGGCAACTAAGCCCATGCACCACAACTACGGAAGCCCTCAGTGTGTTCTAGAGTTTGTGCTCTGCAACGAGAGAAGCCACATCAATGAGAAGCCTGTGCACCACAACTAGAGAGTAGCTACTGCTCACTGCATCTAGAGAAAGTCCATGCACAACAAAGGACAGCCAAAGCAACCAAAACTTAACTATTTAAAAAAATAAAGTGTGCAACTTAACAAAAAAAAGAAGTGAGTGGAGTTATATATGTGAAGCCCTTAGATCCAATCCTGGCACATAGTAGGGTTGGACATGTGTCCAATTTTGCTATTATTGTTATTGTTCTCCCACATCTGTCCTTCTAGCCCTAGTCCTCCATGTCGTGGCAGTGAGCACCCAATATCAGGGTGAAAGGTGGGAATGGTGCCTGGGTGGTGGTGGTGATGGTGATTGTTGTTGTTGGTTAGTCACGAAGTCTGACTTCTTGCGACCTTATGGACTGTAGCCTGCCAGGCTCCTCTGTTCATTGGATTTTCCAGGCAAAAATACTGGAGTGGGTTGCCATTTCCTTTTCCAGGGGATCTTTCTGGATCAGGAATGGAACCCAAGTCTCCTGCATTGGCAGGCAGATTCTTTACCACTGAGACATCAGGGAAGCCAGTGATGGTGGTGGGGAGGGTAAAATCTAGAGACTCGGGGGTGGGGAGTGGGACTTTGAGTGTCTCCAGGGGGATCTAAGGGTTGTGAGTGGTTCACTAAAGTGAGGTTCCCCAGAGGGAAGCTCTGCAGAGATGTCCTAGATCTGGGGGTACGGGGCAGGCTCTGTGTGATGATATGAGTAGGAAGAATTTAGAGAAGGGGTTTAGGGGAAGACCTTGGAATCCGAATGAAATCCAAAATGGGAGGGATTTGGGCCACCAAGGACCTAGGGGATTGCAATAAGACAGATTTTTTTTTAAGTTAAGATTTTTCCCCTTTATTTATTTATTTTTATTTGGGTGCACTGGGTCTTAGTTGTGGCATGTGGGATCCTTATATCTTAGTTACAGCATACGGGATCTAGTTCCCTGACCAGGGGTTGAGCTTGGCCCCCTCCATTGGAAGCCCAGAGTTTTAGCCACTGGACCACCAGAGAAGTCCCATGAAATAAGACAGATTTTGAGGGGAGAGCTTGCTGGGTTTAGAGGCCAGAATATCTCAAAAAGATATGGAGAATGGTCTGAGATATCTGGTGGGAGAGGGGCTCAGTTCAGTCACTCAGTCATGTCCGACTCTTTGCAACCCCATGGACTGCAGCTCGCCAGGCTTCCCTGTCCATCACCAACTCCCGGAGCTTGCTCAAACTCTTGGCCATCAAGTCGGTGATGCCATCCAACCATCTCATCCCCTGTTGTCCCCTTCTGGGGGTTAGCTGTTCTGTAGGAGCTGAGCAAAGGAGTCTGAACAAGAAAGGAACAAGGAATTCTCAGTTCCACAGAAGTCACAGAGTGGGGGAAGGGCCTGGAGGGTTCAAGAGAGAGAATAAGAACAGGGATGAGGCAGGGTCCTCAGGAGAGCAACATGGGTCGGGAAGATGATCAAGAATTTGGGGCAAATTGGGCATTCTGGAAATCAGGGAGTGCTTTGGAGGTGAGGGAGGTCTGGGATCTAATGGGGGTAATTGGAAAAGCCCAGGGTCTCCCATGAGGAAGAGTTATATTTGGCACCCCTAGACGTTAGATATGGTCTAGAGTCTCTACTAGGGGGCAGAGAATTGTTTGAGGGCAGAGGGGCATAGAGGGTCCTCAGGAAGGAGTGGGATATGGTCTGTGGTCCTGAGCAGCTATGGAACATGGTTTGGGTCCCCCAAGGGAGTGAGGCATGATCTGGGGTCTCCCCAGATGTTGACATATGGTCTGGATCCACTTTGGATGTTGGGGTGATCTGGGGTCCCTGAGGGATGAGGTGTGCTCTGGGGGTCCACCTGAATGTTGAGGTATGATTTAGGGACCCTCTTGGATGCTGAGATACGGTCTGGGGCCCCCCTAGATTGGGAGGTCTGGTCTAGGGTCCCTGATGGGTGTGGGGCCCAGTCTGAGGTCGCCAAGGAGAGCAGGACGTGGTTTGTGGTCCTGGGTGGCTGAGAAACATGGTCTGGGTTCTCAAAGGCGGTAAGACGTGATCTGGAGTCCCCCTGGGTATTGGGACAAGATCCGAGGTCTTCATTGGGGCTGCAAGGGTCCCCATGCCAGTCGGGGCGTGGTCTGGTGGTCTCCGGGGAAGCCGGCTGGGCTGGAGGTGGGGCTGGGGAGGGGTTGGGGGCGGGCCGGCGGCTCCGCAGTGGAGAGGGGTCTGCGGAGGACCCCGGGGCGGGGGTCGGGGGCTTGCGGCCGCCGCGCCCGGCCCCTCGGGTCTGCGCCCCCTCCCCCCTTGCGGCGGTGGCAGGGGCTGTCGCGCGCCCATCGGAGGGGCTGTGTGGCCCTGTGTGTGCCCGGCGCCGGCGTGTGCGGCGCCCTGCTTGTGTGGCCATCCGGGTGTGTGCCGGGTGTCGAGCCGAGGTGCTGTGTCCGGCCGTGCGTGTGTGTCCCCCCGGGTGGCTGCCCCTTCGGCTGTGTGCCTGAGGGGCTGTCGCGCGCCCATCGGAGGGGCTGTGTGCAGGTGTGTGTGCGTGGGTTGTGTGCCCAGGTGTGGGTTCTCCCCCCTCCCCCCCCCCACCCCGCGTGAGTGTATTCGCGCGGTTAGCTGCGTTGGGTGTTTGTGTCCGGATTGGATGTCCATCCCAGGGTCTGTGTAGCCGGGTGTGCCCGCTCGGGTGTCCATTTGTGTTTGTGTGTGTGTGTGTGTCTGCGGGTTGTATGTCTCCAAGGGTGTGTGTCTGTGCGTCCATGGCAGGTTCTCCGCGGGGGTGGGGGGGCTGGGGCTCAGCGCCTTGTGGGGCCTCTGTGTGGGTTTGGGGGAGGGGAGTTTGCCGCTCCCTCGGTCCATGTCAACTGTGGGGGGGTCCTCGGCGGTCCTTGGGGGAGACGGCCATGTCTTCCCCTTCCTGGTGGCTGGGTGGGGGGGATGGGCAGCCGGTAGGTGGACAGATGGAGGGATGAGAGGCCGAGGGGTGGACAGATGGGCCCGAGGGAGGGACGCAGACCCGGCCCTCTCCCACCCATCCCACCCCAGTCCCCTCCCGGCCAGATCTCTGCAGATGGGGCTGGAGGTGCCCACATCCAGATGGCCGGCCTGGGGACCTTTGGGCTGCTGGTGGGAGGATTGCCTCTGACCAGGTGCTTTTCAGCTCAGGCCCCCGGCCCTCTGAACTCTGACCTGGCTGGGGAAGGGGGTGTGCTGGGAGGGACAGGTGTTAGGGTTTCCTTGGCCTAGGAAGTAGGTGGGTCGGGGGTGCCTCAGGGCTGGGAGGGATGTGTGTCCATGACTGTGTGTGAGTGTGGTTCTCTGCCTATCTGTTGACTCTGCCAGTGGGGTTCAATATTTTGTGTGTATTTGTAAGTGTGTAAATCCCTCACAGGGCAGTTATGTGAGCATGTGCCTGTTATGAGTGAACATCTCTGAGTGTCTGTGCAAAGGTGGGTCTTTTTGTACCTATGTGCTTTTTGGAGTGTGTTATCAGCCTTGTCAGTGTCTGTTCCTATTGTGGTTCTGTACATGTGTGTGAGGTGTGTATAGGCTAGTGTGTGCATTTGTGCATCTGTTGGTGTGGGAATGTACCAGCTTTGTGACCGTGCATACTAGGGGTACATGAAGTTGTATGAGTGTGTTGGGTATTTAAGAGCATGCACCTGTGTATCTTTGTGTGAGTGAGCATCTGTTACATGTGTGTTGGTGAGTGTGCAAGGGTAGCTTTGTTATAGATGCATGCACCAGGGGACACATGGGTTTCACAGTTGTGTGTGTGCCTCTGTGTGTGAGTGTGCAAGGGAAAAGGCAATGTTGTATGTGTGGTTGTGTGCAGGTGTGTCAACCTCGAGGGTCTGTATCTGTACTCTGAGTCCATTTGCGCATTTGTGTTGGTATCTGAAGAGTGGGGTTGTGTATGTTCACATACAGACATGCAGGATGATATGTGCACATGTGCCTGTGTCCTTGACATAGGCTGACCCCACTTATGGGCCCAGTGAGATGGGGGCCCACGTGGCATGACCTGTGGTATGCTGGGATCCATGGACACAAATGTGTCCACATCCTGGACCAAGAGCCTTCAGGGGGCAGGGGCACACATATGCTGCTGTGTCCATGGGAATTCAGATACAGAGTCATGAGTTGTGGGCCCATGTGGGTTTTGGCATTTCCACATGTGTTGGGGTGACCATGGTCTGATGGCGAAGATGGGAACTTCTGATCCTCCCCCAGCTCCTGCTACTGTTCAGGTCTTTGAAGTTGGGGACTGGGATGTGAATTCTGAAAGGAGGCTGGGAGCCTAGCATCCTGGGTTTGAAGGAGATAGAGAGCTGAGGGACCAGATTCCTGGATCTTGAGGAAGGAGGGAACTGAGACCTGGACTGTTGGGTCCAAGGGAGGGGAGGATGGGGATCTTGGCCTCTTGAGCCCCCAGAGGACAAAGGACTAAAGTCCTAGACTCTGGGGATTTGGAAGGTGAACAGCCTGGGGCTTAGACTCCTTGATTTCCAGAGGTGACTTCCAGGGTCCACCTGAGACCCTGCAGAACCTACAGCAGGAGGGCTGAGAGAGTGATCACGGCAGGGGCTTCCTGGGCTGAGATGGTCTCCGAGGAGGGTCTTGGGAGAGGAGCCAGAAGAATGCTAACAGTGTGCTTTTGTTCCTTTGCAGGTACTGGCCCAGGCCCTGACTGCCTGAAGAGAGGTGAGTGGGGTCCCTCAGGCTGGGGAGAGAGATGTGAAGTGATTGGGTTTACTCTGAGAGAGTCAGAGGCCTGGAGTGCTGCCTTGTATGAATTTTAGTGGCAAGTATAGCAGTGTCCTGAGGGGCCAGGTGCCCCCCAGGCTGGGGGTTGGTGACAAGGTCAAGAATGTCTTGTTTGGGTAAGAGCTTCGTAGAACGATGGTGTGGATGGTAGGTGGGGTCTCAGGCCTGGAGGTATCCCCTTTTAGACTGAGTAAAGTGGTCAGAAAAGGGAAGTTTCTTCATGTTAGTAAAGGAGGCAAGAGTTTCCTGACATGAAATGACCCTGCATTTGGATGGTGGCATGGATATGGTTTACCATTTTGTGTGTGTATGTGCATGTATGTGGGGACATCTCCTGATAATCAGACCTCCTGGTGGCTGAGAGAGAGCCAGAGCAAGTGATCATTTAACAGCAGCTGTTAACATTTATATAGTGTTTACTCCATTAGCAACTACTCTAAGTATGTTTCAGCGGATTATCTCATTTAATCCTCACAATAATCCTATGAGGTAGGTGCTATCATCCCCATTTGACAGATGGACACACTGAGGCCCAAAGAGGGGAAGTCACATGGCAGGGAATTGGGGTGTGAACCTGGGCAGTTGGGGGCCAGATTCTGTCCGCAATGCCGTACTGCCTCTCAATAAATGTTAGCTATTTTCATTGTTAGTATTACACTGTTTCAACTTGAGTCCCACCCTGGCTGTGGGCCTTCTGGTTTCATAGATAGTGGTTCTGAGCCCCAGAGAGCTTACAGCCACGGCGGTGCAGAGCTGCGCCTCCTACTTCTGGCCACCTCCCAGGCCAGGATTTTCTATCGGATGTAGAGCAGTGTCCCAGAGGGAGTGCATGACAGTTAGTGGTGGTGGTGGGGGGTCGCTCAGAGATGAAGAGATGCTCTGACTTTGCCTCTTTTTCTTTTTTCAGCCCCATCACTGTCTTCCTCAGTCTCTTTCTTCTGGTCTTCACCTGTATAACACTCTTATTTTCTCTTCCTGTCTCTCCCTCTCTCCATCTCGATGTCTCAGTCTCTCTTTTCTGTGTGGGTCTCCACTCAGTTTTTCTCTCTTTGCCTCTGACTTGCTCCCTGTCTCTTCACCTGTCTTTCAGATTCTTTCTCTTGTTGTCTCTTTGTCTCTCTCTTTCTGTCTCTCTCTGAATCTGTCTCTTTGTCTGCCAGTTCATCCCTCCCTCCCCCTGTCTCTCTCTGTCTCATCTCTTTCTCTGACTCTCTTGGTCCCTTCTCTGCATCTACAGTCCCCCTTTGCCTGTGGGCTGAAGGATCAGGGCCACATGAGGCCACTGCCCCAAACTGCAGATTCCTGGGAGGTGGGCCAGCAGGGACTGGGGCATGGAGTGGGGTGAAAACAGTGTCAGGGACACCCCCTTCCCATCCTTTCCTCTTCACCCCCCACCCACCCCGTGTTGTGATGGGAGCTGACATGTCGTGGGTTGCAGCTGCCGCAGGGGGAATCCCAGCCGGAAGGTTTTGCCTGGAGCAGAGGCACAGCCTGTGTGTGTGTGTGTGTGTGTGTGTGTGTGTAGGCATGTATGGGGCCTTGTGTTGTACCCATTAACGTGAGCATGAAAGTCTGCCCCCTGCTTGGGCCCTCAGCAGAGGCCAGAAGGAAACCGGGCTCAGAGAAGGACTTCCCAAGACGGAGCAGGGAGACTGCTCTTTTCTCAGCCCCTCCCACCTTCAGTACAATCCCCCCTCCCCACTGCCAAAGGTGGGCGGGGGGTGTTATCCTTAACATTTATTGAATATGTACTGTGTGCCTGGCCCTATGCTCTGTGACCCCTATGAATGAGCTCACTGAACTCTTGCAACAACCCAATGACGATAGTACAATTATCAGACCACTTTACAAATCAGGAAATTATGGCCTAGCTCGGGAAAATCATTGGTTTGGGGTCACAGAGTTAGCAAGTTGGGGGAGCCAGGACTTGAACCTGAGTCTATTAGATTTCAAAGCCTTTGCTCTTAATAATAGTGAACATTTCTATGCATGGCACCTACTGGACACTTGATGATGATGATAATAATAGTTATACACTAACATGTATTGAACACGTTTTATGTGCCAGGCACTGTTCTGAGTATACTTTGCTCATTAATCCAGTTCATCCTCACAGAGGTAAGGCCTGTTTTTGTCTCCATTTTACAGATGAAGAAACCGAGATTCAGAGAGGTTCAGACACTTGCCCGAGATCACATAGCTAGTAAGTGTCAGAGTTGGGATTTGAACCCAGGGAGTATGGCTTTGACATCCATGACTTTAAACCCTAGTCAGCAGTGGTCTTTCAAAATATTTTGTGGGTACTAGAAGGCACAGGCCAGACCAGATGTCATCCCTCTGGTTGAGAGGTCATGAGAGGTCTGGGAGCTCCTGGAAGAGGGGCAGAGGTGGGGGTTAGACACTCAGAGGTGGGGCAGTGGTAATTTACCAAGCAGCATGTAAGTGATGTGATCTGTTCACAAGTGCATGCCAGCTGATGGTCAGTTCTGTCACTGTCCTACAGGACCCAGTTGTCAGGAAGGGATGGATGTGGGGCAGACTGCGAGCGGGACATCCCAGGGTGGCCAGGCAGGTGGTCAAGCCCTATGCCTGGCTGACCCTTCTCCTTCCTTGCAGATCTCACCTCCCGCTCCTCCTGCCTCCCCCCTGCACCATGGCTCCGGGCCCCTTCTCCTCAGCGCTCCTCTCGCTGCCGCCTACTGCCCTGCCCTTTCTGCTGCTTCTCTGGGCAGGGGCATCACGGGGCCAGCCCTGCCCCGGCCGCTGCATCTGCCAGAACGTGGCGCCCACGCTGACCATGCTGTGCGCCAAGACCGGCTTGCTCTTCGTGCCGCCAGCCATCGACCGGCGTGTGGTAGAGCTGCGGCTCACCGACAACTTTATCGCGGCCATTCGCCGCCGAGACTTCGCCAACATGAGCAGCCTGGTACACCTCACCCTCTCGCGGAACACCATTGGCCAGGTGGCGGCCGGCGCCTTTGCGGACCTGCGCGCCCTCCGCGCCCTGCACCTCGACAGCAACCGGCTGGCAGAGGTCCGAGGCGACCAGCTCCGGGGTTTGGGCAACCTCCGCCACCTGATCCTGGGCAACAACCAGATCCGCCGGGTGGAGTCGGCCGCTTTCGACGCCTTCCTGTCCACCGTGGAGGACCTGGATCTGTCCTACAACAACCTGGAGGCCCTGCCCTGGGAGGCCGTGGGCCAGATGGTGAACCTGAACACCCTCACGCTGGACCACAACCTCATCGACCACATCGCCGAAGGGACCTTTGTGCAGCTTCACAAACTGGTTCGCCTGGACATGACCTCTAACCGCCTGCATAAACTGCCCCCTGATGGGCTCTTCCTGCGGTCCCAAGGTCCGGGACCCAAGCCGCCCACGCCGCTCACGGTCAGCTTCGGCGGCAACCCCCTGCACTGCAACTGTGAGCTGCTGTGGCTGCGGCGGCTGACCAGGGAGGACGACCTGGAGACGTGTGCCACGCCGGAGCACCTCACCGACCGCTACTTCTGGTCCATCCCCGAGGAGGAGTTTCTGTGTGAGCCTCCGCTGATCACGCGGCAGGCGGGCGGCCGGGCCCTGGTGGTGGAGGGCCAGGCGGTCAGCCTGCGGTGCCGCGCCGTGGGGGACCCTGAGCCCGTGGTGCACTGGGTGGCACCCGACGGGCGCCTGCTGGGGAACTCGAGCCGGACCCGGGTCCGGGGGGATGGGACCCTGGATGTGACCATCACCACCTTGCGGGACAGCGGCACGTTCACTTGCATCGCCTCCAACGCCGCCGGGGAAGCCACCGCACCCGTGGAGGTGTGCGTCGTGCCTCTGCCTCTGATGGCACCCCCGCCTGCTGCCCCGCCACCTCTCACGGAGCCTGGCTCCTCGGACATCGCCACGCCTGGCCGACCTGGAGCCAATGAGTCGGCGGCTGAGCGCCGGCTCGTGGCGGCTGAGCTCACCTCCAACTCTGTGCTCATCCGCTGGCCGGCCCAGAGGCCCGTGCCTGGCATCCGCATGTACCAGGTGCAGTACAACAGCTCCGCAGATGACTCCCTTGTCTACAGGTGGGTGTTAGAGTCCCCGGACCTCCTCCTGCCTCAGGGGCCCTCCCTCCGCCTCCCTCGGCCTTCTTGCTCAGCTGGGATTCTAGAGGGGCTTGTAGAGTGGTCTGTGGCTCCCATTTGCCCTGTTTCCTTCTCTTTCTGTTTCTTATCTTTGTTTTTCACACATCTTGCAAATCCTCCTGGAGTACCCACATGAGCCATTTATCACCATGAATGCACCCAGCATGGTCCCTGCTCTCATGGGGCCCAGGGTCTACATTACTGCCCACCAAAGATGTCTGATCATCTACCTTGTCAGTTAGACATTCTTAGAGCAGGGAATATACTCACATATATATAGTTACAGTTGCATTTATATTTAGAAATCACATACAAGGCTACTGTAGCAACACATTGGGTACAATATAGAAACAGAAAAGTGTGAGAAAAGGATGTAAGTTGTTTCCACCATCCATTGGGTTAGAAGCCATTGTCCTGGCATGGACAGATCCCTATGGTGTAGACCGATGTTCCCCCCCATCATCTCTGATTTTCTCTTGCTCTCATTTCTGTCTGTGTCTCTGTACCTTCTCTCCTTCCTGTTCTCATGAGGAACTAAGCCCCTGCTATGTGCCAGACCCTCAGCTGGGCGGGAGAGACACAAGGAGACCAAGAGACCAAGCCCTGCCCTAGGGAGCTCACAGCCCAGAGGAAGGAGGCAGAGAGTATATGATGAATTTCAGTCTTGGCTTTGCCTTGTCTCTCCATCTCGGTAGCGTGGCTCACAGCAATTGACCTGGCATACAGCAGGTGTTTGCTCAGTGGTTGTGGGCTCTGTGCATGTCTCTGCTTTGTCCTGGCTCTGCCTCCCTTAGGCACATTGCAGAGTGCTTGCTGAATGTTTAATCCTTTGTATGACATACCTTGGGTGCTCCAGAGGGGGTGGAGCCATTTCCCCACCTGTGGGCAGCTCCTGATCTTGTGGGTGCTTAGACCCGCACCAAGAAGCCTGCCTCTTGGCTTCCATCTTCACCTCACCCAGTTCTCTTGGCCATGGTCCTGGCACACAGTAGGTGCTTTCCCATCATTGGTTGAATGAGGTGATGCCTTCCTTTTCTCTTGTCTCGGTCATGCTCATTTTCTTCTCGTTTTGAATTTGGTCACCAAACACTGAATAAATGCCTACTTTGTGCCAGTTTCATGCTGGGCCCTGGGCCTACTGAGATGGATAAGACACTGGCCCAGTCTTAAAAACATTAGGGCAAACAAATGGACAAAACAAAAACTTTTATAAGGTACTACCAAAGGGTACTACTCCATTTGACCTTCCCAACTTCACTGTGAGGCAGCTATGATCCCCCCTCCCATTTTATAGACAGGGAAACTGAGGCTTAGTGGGAGAAGTCACTTGTTCAAGGTCACACAGAAAGAGACAGAACCAAGATTCCAGCTCTTACCCTTCTAACTCCCAATTCTGCCCTTTTTACATTGAAGACTTGTTTATCAGGCGACTACTGTTTGCTAGGCTGGGATTAGGGGAGAGGGATAATAGATTTGTGTAAACAGCTCCTGGTTTCTGTGATTCTCCACCTCTTTCTCTTTTTCCTTCTCTCTCTAACCCGTGGTCACTACATGGTGGGGTAGAGGGCGGTTCAGGGGCCCCCAGACCCAGCATTTCTGCAGATGTTGATGGCCCTCTGTCTCCAACTGGGCAACAGACCCTAGGACTCTTCCCTTCCCCTCAGGGCTACACAGTCCCAGTCCTCTGTCCCTCGTTGCACGCCTGTGCTACAGCACTGCAGGGGTTAACTCCCTCACTGCTGCCATGGGAGGAGGTGACAACCAACCAGAAGCCTGCTCTGCAGCTTGCTTGGGCCTTACAGCCAATTAGAGACTCACGGGCTCAAGCTTTCTTAAGGAGCCAGCTTCTGTCCTTGAAAAGGGGGGAATCCCTAGCAACTGGTTATTTTAGGGGAAGGAGCAAAAGGAGCCCAAGACTCTTTGAGAGGGAAGACGAGAGGAAGAGGAAGACTTAGAGCCAGGGGCCCAAGGTTGGATGGAGTTGGTGGGGGGGGGACAGTGGTCTGGGAAATAGCTGGCAGCGGGAGAGTTGGAGAGGTGGTGGGCCCCTGATATGTAGTCTTTTGGGGGGAGGACGGCTGTTGGTGATGGCGGAGACTTCTGGAGGTGGAGGAACTGAGGTGGGTTCAGGACCAGAAGGTGGTGTGGCTGGAGGAAAGGTGATGCTTCTGAGAGGTAAGAGGCCTGAGGAGGTGGGGGCATGGCCTTTAGAGGAGGTGGGGGCATGGCCTTTAGAGGAGGTGGTGCTCCTGCAGTATTGTCCCCACGCAGATGAAGAGGCGGTTCATGTCTCTGATGACCTGCTAAGAGCTTTGTGGGAGAGGAGAGCCTGTGAGATTGAGTGCATGCAAATCTGTGTGGGTGTGGCAGTCCCAGCTTAGCCAACATCAAACATGGAAGGGATGTGCCCAACAGAAGAGGGGCAAGGCCCAGGGGGAATGGTTCTTATAGACGGGGAGGAAAGCAACTGGTAGGAGCGTGTGAGCCACAGCAAAGCCAGCATCGGGTAGGATGCCAGCTGCTAATGAAATTATTAAGTGCTGGGCTTTGGGGATGTTAACTCATCGTACTTCACACCATTTCTATGGGGTAGGAATCCTTAATAACCTCAGGGGGGGAAATGAGACACAGAGAGGTTAAGAAACTTGCCTGAGGTTACAGAGCTAGCAAGCAGCAGAAAAGAAACTCAAACTCTGGCATCGTGGCTCTCAGACTTGGTCAGCTAAGTCACTTCTCTACACGGCCACTTGTTTGAGGGCAGGGGTCCATGGCAAGAAAGGGGCATGCTTTCTTGGCTACATTTGCCCCAATCATGGATGAAACTTACCTGGGGGCATGGTGTAGTGACTTCAGGTAGTATAGGGCAGGGCGTGCACATATCTGGGTACAGTGCATGACATGCAAAGAGTGGACATGGTCCTAGGCCCAGTAGGGGAACCATCTCCCCTGGGCCATTGTGGTTTGGAAGGCACTTGTCAATCAGAAGGGAAGTGGCCTTTAGCCCTGGCTCCTTGGTGGGCAGGAATATGTAGTGGAGGGGCTTGGAAATTGTCTGATAAGATAGATACTTCTAGGAGAGGTGTATGTATACCCAAGGGTGGGATATGCAGATGAGGGGGAGTGGTCTGTATCACGGTTTCCTTGAGGGGGCAGGAACATGTAGAAGAGAGGAACTAGAAGAGCATCCATTGTCCCAGTAGGAATAAGACTGGGAGTATGAGGTAACCTGCTAGTCCACCCCAGTGAGAGTGAGGCTTGCAGGTAAGGGGGCATGGCCTGTAGCATCCATCCCCTTAAAGGGTGGGAATATGTAGATAAGAGCGCTTGAATGGCACTTGTCCCAGTAGGAATGAGCCATTGCTAGGGAGCAAGCCCCTTGAGAGCAGGGCATAAAAGCTGTAGCATTCCTTCCTGGCAGGGGCCAGGATATATAGATGAAGGGAGACACGGGTGAGGAGTGGGTCTGACGGGTGAGGAGTGGGTCTGACGGTGGGGCCTGCAGATAAGGGGCGTGGCCTATACCAAAGGTCCTGAGAGGGTGGGAATTTGGTGCTTGAGTGGCTGCTGTTGTCCCAGTAGGGGTGAGACACTGGTAGGGAGGCATGGATAGGTCCCCACGGGTGGTGGGGACATGCAAGTGAAGCAGCCTGGTTCAGAGTGGAGCTAACCCGGCGCTGATCCCGCCCCCTCCTGCAGGATGATCCCATCCACCAGCCAGACCTTCCTGGTGAATGATCTGGCAGCGGGCCGCGCCTACGACCTGTGCGTGCTGGCCGTCTACGATGATGGGGCCACGGCGCTGCCGGCCACCCGAGTGGTGGGCTGCGTGCAGTTTACTACCGCTGGGGATCCGGCACCCTGCCGCCCGCTGAGGGCCCATTTCTTGGGCGGCACCATGATCATCGCCATCGGGGGTGTCATTGTCGCCTCCGTCCTCGTTTTCATCGTTCTGCTCATGATCCGCTACAAGGTCTACGGCGATGGGGATGGCCGCCGAGTCAAGGGCACCTCCAGGTCGCCTCCGCGGGTCAGCCACGTGTGCTCGCAGACCAACGGCGCAGGCGCAACGCAGGCCCCGCCCCCGCCGGCGCCTGACCACTACGAGGCGCTGCGCGAGGTGGCTGCTCCGGCGGCTGCGGCGGCGGCCGTCGAGGCGAAGGCCGCGGCTGCCGACCTGACTTCCGCGGAAACGGAGGCGGTCCTTGGACGTTCCCTGGGAGGCTCGGCCACCTCGCTGTGCCTGCTGCCATCCGAGGAAACCTCCGGGGAGGAGTCCCGGGCCGCGGCGGGCCCTCGAAGGAGCCGTTCCGGAGCCCTGGGACCGCCGGCTTCACCGCCCCCCACTTTAGCTCTGGTTCCTGGGGGAGCCCCGGCCCGGCCGAGGCCTCAGCAGCGTTATTCGTTCGACGGGGACTACGGGGCGCTCTTCCAGAGCCACAGTTACCCGCGCCGCGCCCGGCGGACAAAGCGCCACCGGTCCACGCCGCACCTGGACGGGGCCGGAGGGGGCGCGGCCGGGGAGGACGGAGACCTGGGGCTGGGCTCCGCCAGGGCGCGCCTGGCCTTTACCAGCACCGAGTGGATGCTGGAAAGTACCGTGTGAGCGGCGGGCGGGCGGGCGCCGGGACGCCTGGGTGCCGCGGACAAACGCCCAGCCGCTCTGACGTTTAGGGCAGGATTCGGGGGTGAAAGCGCCGAGCCAACACGTCGTCGGACTGGAGGGGAGAAGCACCCTTCTCCCTGGAGCGGGTCGCGGGCTGCCTGGGCGGTGACTCGAGGCCACGCCCCCGCGCTCAGGGGGCTTTGAGGGCGGGCCGCCGGCCTCCCCTTCCCCGTGGACGCCACGCCCCCTCCTGCCCCTCCCCCCGCGCGCTCGCGGACCTCGCTGGAGCCGGTGCCTTACACAGCGAAGCGCGGGGAGGGGCAGGGCCCCCCCGACACTGCAGCACTGAGACACGAGCCCCCTCCCCCCGCCCGGGACCCGGGGCAGGGGCGAGGGGCCCATTTCACGTATCTGGCTGGACTAGATCCTATTCTGTCCCGCGGCGGCCTCCAAAGCCCCCCCCCCCGCCCCAACCCCATTCAATTCCCTGGTCCCGTCGTCGGGTCTGGCTTGGGGTCCCCTTTTCTCTGTTCCCCTCGTTTGTCTCTGTCCCGCCCTGTGTCTTTGTCTTCCGTCCTTCCCCGTTCGTATCTCTTTTCTCTGTCCCGTCGTCTGTTCTCCCGTATGGCGTCCAGCCTTGTCTCACCAGATTATCTCCCCCAGTACACTATTCTCCCGGGCAGGTCCCACCGGAAGGACCAGACTCTCCCCGACTCCTTCCTCTTACTCCCAAGTGAAATCCCCACAGGAAACAAAATCCAAAACCAAATCCCTCTCGCTACCGGAGCCGGGACCCTCCGCCGCAGGAGAATTAAACTTTTTTCTGTGTCTGAGGCCGCTCTGCTGACCTCTGTGTGTGTTCATGTGCCTTGGGGGGGGGGGGGGCGGTGCGTGCCCTCGATTACAGCACTAGGACGTTAAGTGAGACTGAAGGTAGGACTGCTGACTGCGACCAGGGAGATTTGCAGTTTCCTACCCTTTGAGAGACTTAGAGGTGGGGAATAATACATGAAAAACAGAAACAATAGCTAAGGTTAAATGAGTGCTTACTATTGCCAAGCACTTAAATTGTTTAATCCTTACAACAACCCTAGGACATCAGTACCATGACTCCATTTTATAGATGAGAAAACGGGGGTCCAGAACTAAAGCAACTTGTTACAGGTCGCATAACCAGAAGGTAACAAACTTGGGATTTAAAACGCAGGCAGCCTTCTGAGCCTTTAGTGCTGAGCAACTAGGGAGTGTTCATTTTCCACATAGGCATTGTGCTAAGCACACAGCTCATCTCTCTGAGGTCCGACAGCTGTTGGGGGTCGATACACTTGGCCCCACTTTACAGACAGGAATCTACACCAGGGAGAAGTGAAGTCACTTGCCCAATGCTCCCCTGGTGAAGAAATAGAGTTGGCAGTTTGACCTCAGTATCTGTTCCACTCTACTACAAGATGTAGCTTCTGATGTCTGTGTCTGGAGGCTGGGGAATGGCCTCAAGGACCTTAATTAACTGAGCCTGGGTATCAAAAGCTAGCCTGGTGGGAGAGGGGACATGGGAAAGGACTCACGGGTCATGCTGCCTGGAACCTGAGGGATCTTAGGAGGTAGAGAAGGGGTCTACTTGAGGGCACAGAGGTTGGCATGGGGTGGGGGAGGGTTTCTCAGACAAGGGTGTGGGCTGTGGCTGGGGAAGGGAAGTTTTTTGGGGGAGGGTGGATGGGTCCTGCAGTGAAAACTTTTCTGATCCTAGGGAAGAAGGAAGAAGGCTTCATGCCAACCAGGAGCCTCCTGAGGCCTGGGGAGGAGGAGAGAAAGACAGAAATAGAAACGGAGCAGGAGGGAGGGGGATGGATCTGGGCAGACGGTGGGAGGCAGCAAGGACAGAGGCACCAGAGAATCACAGGCCTGCATCACCCAGCGGCCCAGCCGCGCTTATCTGTCTCAGTCATCACGACTCCTGGGTACCGAGGGCTTCCCACACACCAGCCTTGGTGCTCACAAACCCTCCCTGAAGCATGAATAGAGCGTGCAGCTCAGCCCCTGGCACAGAGCACCAAACGGACTTACTCGGAGAGGAAGCGTGATCACGTCTACACTCCAAAACAGATGTGTGCGGTGTGTGCACCTTCTTATTTATTTTAGGCTAGGTAAGTTGATTTGCTTAGAGGGAAGCACACTCCACAGAGTGTGGGCCATCTCAGAAGGTGAGAGGCCTTGTGCACCCCCTTTTCTAGACAAGGAAACAAGTTTAGACAGGTAAGCAGCTTGCCGAAGACCATGCAGTCTGCAAACGGCAGCGCCATGATTGGAGAATTTACTGCCTTCTTATCCTGCACACCTAACCGTCTGACTGTACTGTCTCAGCTCCACCCGATAAAGCTTTACTGAGCATGTGCTATGTACCTGGCTCTGTGAAAGGGATGCCGCAGTGAACAAAACAGATGAAACAAGAGGCCCCTACCCCATGGAGCTTATATTCTAGAGGCAGGAGACAGTAATCAAGCGAGTAAATTATGAGTGTCTGGTAGTGAATAAGTGTCACATGGAGAATGAAAACATTTTCATTTTGATGGGGGACTTCCCTGATGGACCAGTGGTTAAGACTTCCCCACTCCCAATGCAGGGGGCCAGGGTTTGATCCCTGGTCAAAGATATCAACCTGTAGTTTGCAGGTGCAGCAGAAAAATTAAAAAAAAAAAACAAAAAACAAAACAGGGTGATGGGATGGAGTGACTGAGAGGTTTATTTTATTTATTTCTTGGGGTATAGTTGCTTTAAAGTGGTATGTTAGCCTCTGCTGTACATCAAAGGGAATGAGCTATAGGTATACACACATTCCCTCACTCTTGGACCTCCCACCACCCCCTCCCACCTGTCTAGGTCACCGCAGAGCACTGAGCTGAGCTCCCTGCACTATACAGCAAGATCCCACTAGCTATCTCTTTTATACATGGCTGTGCTCATGTGTCAACCCTAGTCTCCCAATTCACCCTCCCCTCAATCAAGCCCCCGTATCCACATGTCCATTCTCTACATCTGGGTGAGAGACTTACTTTAGACTGGAAGGTCAAGGAAGGTGATATTGGAGCTGAGAACCGCACCCCTCCCCCCTCCCGTGGAAAGAGCTAGGGAAGAGCATTCCTAGCAAAGAGAATAGCATGTGCAAAGGCCCTGAGGCAGGAGTGTGCTTCGTGTGTTGGAGGCAGTGTGTCTGGATTGAAGTAAGGGGGAGAGTGAGAGGAGAGCAAGTGGGAGAGGCAAGCAGGGAGAAGCTTCTGCTGAGCCTCTTGGGCTGTGGTCAAGAGTTAAGATTTTATTCTTAGCTGTGAGTTTCAGCTGGGGCAGTGTTTGGCTTGACTTGAGTCAAGTGTTTGACTTGACGTAAGGAATTCAGCTTTGACTGAAGTGTGCCTGTCCTCACAGCAAAATCAGAAACTGCCACCTCAGAACTTGGCATGCGCCCTTTGACATATTTGGGGCCCACATGGTCCCTAGGTCAGCCCTTTGAATGATAGCCCCCACCTTCCTCTGTAACATCAGGTCTGTCATTTAACAGAGAAATATTTACCAATGGCAGTGACATTCCCCCACCCCCACCCCCCTGCCCAAACTGAGAGCTTTAAACCCACGGGATAGTACATTAGGTGAGACAGAGCATGATATCATTCAAGGGGAGCGTTGGAGCATTTCCTCTGTGCCTGGCCCTGTACTGGACACTGGAGATCCAAAAGTGAGCCAGAAAGCACCAGTCCTTGCCCTCCTGAAGCTCAGACAGACAGATGGCAATAGGGCTGTGATGGGAGAAACATAAAGCCTATCAGAGCACAGAAGAGTTGCCTGACCATGCCCAGAGGTTCAGGGAAGTGTATTAGCCAGAGTCTTGGCTGCAAGTGAAAAGAAGTCAGCTTAACTTGATTAGGTGTGGAAAAGTGTGCATTTGTTGGCTCCTAGAGCTAGGAAGGAGACAATCAAGGGCAAAACTATAAGGAATTTGACCTTAGAGACTGGAATCGAGACTCAATTCCATAGGACACTCTTTCCATTCATTTCTCTTCTCCACTTGTCTCAGCTCAGATGTGTCCCCTTCCACTGCATGTAGTGGGGAAAATGGCTATATATTTACAGACACAGACTCAATCCTTCTAGCACCACAGCCCAGAGGTAAAATGGCAGAATCTCCTCCAGTCCTAAATAAAAGTAAATCCCAGGGAAGGGCTCTGGTTGGTTTGACTAGGGTCACATGCCAACCCTGCACTGACTGGGCTATCCAAGGGAATGGAATGCTTTGATTGGCCAGATCACAGTCACATGTTCAGATTGTGTGACCCTGGAAAAAGAGGGGAGAGTTAAAAATATTAGGTTGAACCATATGAAATTGCCAGTTCTGTAGGTTAGAAATGGCAGAATACTGGCAATTTCATCAGTTGAAATGAAATAGTCATCAGAAAAGTAGGATGGTAAAACTTGTTGGGTATATAAAAGCAATAGAAACCCCAGAGTACCACTCAGAAGAATTTTTGGAGGAGGAAGTGATACTACTGAGACATAGGGAATGAATAGAAATTAGATGAAGACATAGTGGTGATGGGAGAGTAGGGGGGACATGTTCCAAGCAGATGGAACAGCTTATGCAAAGCCTGTCATGAAGGAGTTACAAGGGAAGACGTCCTTGTACTCTGGAGATGGAGTGCTGTGGTTGGGCAAACCTGAGTTGCGTGTCCAAACAATGAGGGAGTGAGGAAGGGGGCTCATGCCCCAAAGGAGAATTGACAAGCTTTACCAGGAGACAGGGATTCTGGGCAGGCAAAACCAAAATATATCCAGTTCAAATTTTCTTTTTTAGGCCTTGGCATCTCCAAACAGAGGTTTGCAATCTTATTTCAATTACACTACTCATGTCTGAGCTCAGCTTTGTCTTACATGATTCAAATTTTTATTATCAAATAATAATTGGTCACTTTTTCTGGGTTTTGGCTGGGCATACAGAGATGGACTTTTGAAGATACATTAGGCTGCAAGAAACAAAACCTAATTAACATGACTCAAGATGTTTTCTTATCTCAATGACCAACTTTCCTACTCTTTTTGTTCCACCTTCCTTAGAAGAACAGTTTCACACTCTAGGCTTGTTGTCTTATGGTCACAAAATGGCCACCACAGCTTCAAGTCTCTCATCCTCATATCAGTGAACTAAGCAGGAAGGAAAGGAAAAAATAGAATTTTCTCTCTGCTGGGGAAGAAAAAAAATCCTAAAATAAAAAAAATAACAGCAATAAATGCATGTATGGGGCTTAACCTCTGCCAATTGTTTTCAATTATTTACATAAATTAGCTTATTTCATGGCCCTTCCACTGCAGAGGCAGATGATCCACACTAGGCCTTCTCTAATTTCATAATCCACAGAATCTGTGAGCATAATAAGATATTTGTTGTTTCACTCCATTATGTTTAGGGTGTTTGTTATAACTTGGAGGATATTGTTTGTGTGAAAGCTGGAGCCATGGCTGCCATTTTGAGATCATGAGGTAGCCAGAGTAAAGTTGGTCAACAGAGATGGAAAGAATCTGGTTTCCCAGTGACATTATTAAGTGAATGAATCCTAGAACTGCCCTGCCAATTTACTTTTTATTATGTATGATAATACATTCATTTCTGTTCTACCCATTTGAGTTGGGTTTCTGACACCTATTATAGGATAAAGAATCCTGATATAGACTTCTATCTGTCCTAGGTACACATGGAAAAGAGAGATACACATTTCACACAAACATGGAAAGACTTATAAACATGTGCACAAATACACATACACTTACACACGTGTGGGCATGAATATGCTGTTATGCATCTTC